ATAATTTTGACCGCTTGCATTTGCAACCCAACATGATTTCCTTACTTTACGAAGAAACCAAGAAGCCCCAGGGGTGCCATTACCAAACTGCGCTGGTCCCAGGCAGCCATCGCCATGTCAGAGCCACAGCATGCCTTTGTAACTCCAGTCAGTGAGAAGCTGGTAGTGACAAGCAGGGCTAGCACTAGAAAATGAAGTAGCCAGAAAAGGCAACAGATTGCCAAGGACAGCAAGCCAGGTGACCCGACTGCTGCTTTATTGATGGTGTATCCTTGAAAAAAGGCTGGGCAGGCTGCTGTTGTGGACAATAAGGGATCCTTTTTACTCCCTGTCCCTCTGCTTCTCTTGGCTCTGCTCTTACCATTAAAGTCCTTTCCATGTTCCCGACATTGTTCCTTCTCCTGTCTGTTTAAACAGTTTTTTATAAACCTGAAGCAGAAGCGCTGAAATCACAGGCAAAGTACCTTCTTTCAGCTTTGATACAAAAAGGATCTTTGAAGAATAATTCTGTCAGGCTCTCAGAAGCAAGTGCAAATTTGATTCTTCAGAGGTGTGCGATTCAACCATAAGCCTGTATGTGTTAACAGGAATAGCAGAAAGTGCCTCTTTGACATCATGGCAGCATCTCTTTTCAAATTGAAATTTCTTAGTTCAAAGCCTGGAAATGCGAGAGCATTTCAGTGAAATGAAGGTAAACATATTTACAACACTTTTCCCTTGTTCTACACTAGAACAAAGACATTCCTCCCCCACTCAAAAAAAAAGAAAAGGCAAGTCCAAAAGCCAGGGTCTGAAAACCTGGGAGCAACATGCCAGTGTGACAGGGTACTGAGGAGGAAGAGTTAAGCAAGTTCACTATTACAAGCTCCACCTTCTGTAAATTACGGAGGCTGGTAACCCTCTAAATGAGGTTTGAAAAGTTGTGGGAAGCCCCACATACCTGATTTTGAAGACAGACAACATTTTCACCAGAAAATTGGTGACTTCACCCCCCATCAAGCTGAAAGTTCATTTTGGTTCTCAGTATTCGTTTGGATTGCTCAGTAATTCTGCCAAATATAGCAAGGCTGCAAATCACCATCTTCTGTAAATGCCTGGCACACACTATGAAGATGCCCAGCTATAGAGAGATATCTTGTCTTGACATGCCTCTTGAAAAGCATCAAAATCAGATTTGCACAGAGAGAGGGCATCCCAGAATGGAGCTGTAAGTAACCTAAACCTGCTTTAAGGCCAGTAACTACTGGATACATTTATGGTCCTGTATCTGTCCATCAGACTGCCATTTAAATGCTCTTTCTAAACTGTTATTGCTGTTCATTTGCAATACTTTAAAACTTACTATAATTTAACATATCTACAGCTCCTATCCTATGCTTCCCACAGAAACAACTAAAATGTTCAGACTCCTGGCACATTCTCTCTTATGATTTCTTCTAATTGAGGGAACACTCTAGTAGTTTAGTTGGAAAGACAGTATGTGGGCCAGAAGGCATACCAAAATCATAGAAAAGCACAAAAATAAGGGCTTCAGACGACATCAAGGACTCAGCTTTCAGCTCAACAGTATCTTAAGATTACATTAGTTAAGCAGGCCAGTTTCAGTATACATCCATAGCATCATCATACCATCTTCCAAGTTGCACCACATTTTTTGATGACATCTTTCTTATACTTTCCAGTACAAGACATTGAGCTACTGGAGAGAGTCCAGCAAAGGTCCATGAAAATGTTTAAGGGACTGGATCATCTCTCATAGGAGGAAAACCTGAGAGAGCTGGGACTGTTTGGCCTGAAGAAGAGAAGGCTTGGGGGGACCTTATCAACGTATATAAATACCTGAAGGGAGGGTGCAAAGAAGATAGATACACACGCTCCTCAGTGGTGCCCAGTGACAGGACAAGAGGCAATGGGCACAAAGTGAAACAGGAGGTTCCTTCTGAACATCAGGAAACACTTGTTCACCATGAGGATGACTGAGAACTGGCACAAGTTGCCCTGAAAGATTGTGGAGTCTCCCATCTTGGAGATTATTTAAAAGCTGTCTGGACACAGTCCTGGGCTTAAGCAGGTGGCCCTACTTCAGCAGAGGGGTTGGACCAGGTGACCTTCAGAGGTGTCTTCCAACCTCAACCATTCTGTGAGTCTGAACTAGCATAGTGATATCCCTCATTATCACTAACAATCTGAAAAGTTCAGAAAAGAAATCATAACCTCCGAAGAAGTCTTTACATATCTTTACAGTAAGGCAAATCCCTCTCCTCCACCTTGTCATCCCTCTCCTCCTCCTTTTTAAAGAAGCTGAAAAACATAGAAAATTATTAATGTTTTGTACTGACTGAGCCCAGTGTCCATCAAAAATAAGAGGAAATATTCATTTGACTTGCTTCCAAGAAAGCAATTAGATGAAACAAATATGTTGAATAAAGTATTTTACTGGCAGGATGACTGAGAGATCAAGAATATTTATTGATCTACAGTCTTGGATGCAAAAAGCTCCAATCATATCAACTACCTAAGCTTTAAAATTAACTCTATCCTCTGCCCAGGCCTCAGGGCCACTCAGACTCTTTCAGAGTACCTTTGTGGGATCTTAGTAAGCATGAGTTAGCAAAATACTTTTCTGAGACTCAGGTAAGTCTCCCAGTTTATCCAAGAGTTGCTTCTACTGCTTGGTGACCAAGAGAGAAGACACTCACGGGAAGGCATATCCTGGAACTTTATGGCCTAGCTGAAAAAACCTCAGGCCCAAAAAGCTGAGCTAGTGTCAGCAAATCCTCTTGCCTCAGTGAAATGTTGCCATTGGATCCTACAGCATTATGCCCATAACACCACAGGCAGAAACCCATCACTTCACGAGGTCCTATTGGAATTTTGTTAGGCCTTCTGTTTCTGAACATATTCTGGATCTCCATAAACTATTCATTCATGGACAAACACCTTGCTTTTCACCAAGCTTTTCATGGTTACAACGCTCATGTAAGTATTGACTTTACTGTTCTATATTATCTTTTCTCTCTCTGTTCTACAGAAATTAAATGAAACCAAAATAGAAAAGTTATCACAGCCATGACGGACACCATACATCAGCAGTTACTGCCTAGGTATACATCAAGCTGTAAATTCAAGGTAACCTGAGCTAGTTCATCCTTCAATGAAGGAGGAATAGTCTGACTGGCTTTGCTGAAGAGTACAAACATAGAACAGGAGCAGTTATCTTGGAAAAGGTACAAGACCCTTGTTTACTCACAAGGTAACACCATTGGGTTTTCATACCCTAAAGCAGAATTTAGGATGCACACATTGGAGTAGGCATTTGTTCAAGTTAAAAGACAAAATACAGCAAATATGCATGACAATCAGAAAAATAAGTCAGAAAGAGGATTGCCGGTAAAAAACCCCAAAGTCTCTCCTCAGTAGGGTAAGAACTTGTATATCACATTTTCTAAACATTTAAGTTCTTCGAAATCTAATTATTTCAAGATATCTTGCCCTCTCTCCACTGTTCCAGAGTTCTTGGAAGTATGATTTTGAGTCACATGCATATACCAAAAAAAGGAGCTTATACCATCTCTATGTAACTGAAGTGTTAAAGAACTATTAAAAGGCTCAATTCCAAAACTTCCCCTCTGGACGAGACCACTTGCCTCTTACCCTGGTCAGGCTTATGGCAACAACTGTGGGGAGAAGGAATGAGCAAGTGCGGCTGAGTATCTTGAAAAAGAGAAGCTATTGGGAAGAGAGGAAACCAGCATGCACTCCTTCCCCCTGCAAACCTGCCCAGAGGCTATTTTTCCCCACCTCACACACGTTGCCCTTGTCAAGCTTTTGGACAGATGGGGGACAGCCCTATACCAGAGGACTCAAAGCAACAAAAGAAATCCTGCAATATGACCAGTGTTCAAAAGCCTTTGCTTGCCTGCCGTACATGTGAAATAGGCTCCCCACCTCCATGGGCAATAACAACTGACTGCTAGGACTGACAAAAGATTTTACTCTTATTAGTCAGTAACACAATACCATACAAGACGCTGTCATATTAGACACTGCAGAGGTTTAGAAATGCTTGCCATTTGCTTTAATTTCAGTGTAAATGGAGGGCGTCGTGGGGTTTTTTAAGCTTCATTTTCTCCGGAAACCAAGCCTGTCTCAACCAGACTGTCTCAACCCTTTCCCTTTGCCCTAGACCCAAAGGAGGCTCCATAGAGGCTGACTGCGCCTTACTGTCAGAGCAGCACAATTCAGCAGTCTAGACAAACTGAGCACCATTTAACAAAGAGACAGTAATCTCATAAGGCTTTCAGATTTCTTAGTGCAGAAAAAGTAAGGCAAAGCTCACAGAAGAGAGGGCTCCTCTGCTTGCAAACTTTTACACATCAAAAAACCCAGCCACATGCAAGAGAAACTTTATGAATGCCCAAATACTGGACAGACTTCACTTGGAGCTTCTCTTTCCTCAGGCTACCAAGTCATTAGCAATAAAGTACAAATTCATATGCTTCCTCACAGTGTTTGTGGAAGTAAAATGTTAAAATCTAATTCAAATATACACTACTGGCTGAAAGAGCCTGCATTTATTCTTTTCAATTTATAGTACTTTCTAGTTGTGAAATAGCCTCTTATTCAGACTTTATCTCCCCATTGCAGTGATGTCAGATTCTTTAATAATAATAATAAAAGTAATAATTTTAATACACTTCTAGTAGTGAAACAGATTCTCCTTTCTAATTAGGTCTAAGCAATTAATAACTGAAATCGAACTGATGATGATACAGTTCTGCTAAACAAATAACTGAAGCTGAAATCAGAGTTAAGTGTTTCCATAAATTAGTGTTGACATCAACAGCAGCTCATTCTGAACTTTACAGATAAACAGAGTTAAAAAGAAAATAAGAACAATTAAAATATTTCTCTTTTATTTGGCTGCTCAAGAAACCAGTTCCTCAAACAGCTGATCCTTCTTGCCACTGAAGTTGGGACTTATTAAGCAATCAACTAACCTTAGAGGATTTTCTTCGGCTTCTTCTTGTCCAAACCACCACTAGTTTATCTGGCTGCCTGTTGAAGATAAGGAAGAAACAGCTTAATCTACAACAAGATCAATATGTAAACAGTTTATATTAAAACTCTTGCAATACATAATGACAACCTTAGCGGATACATTATCTCTTAAAAATAGCTCATCTAAAAACCACTCTCAACATCAGTCATTTAACAGGAAAAATAATGCCGTATTTTTAGAAAAAGGCTGTCCTCCAATCTACACGCTAATGTCAACCTTCTCCTCCTGATGTCCTTGCCTGTGGGCATTTCCCCAGAGACAGCAGCACACCCGAGCAGAAACTCTTCCATGGGGCAAAGAACAGGGTCCAGCCTCTTTAAAGACACCTTGAAAAGAATCCAGTACCCAAAAAAAACGATCAATGCAAACTCTAGTTTGAATTTCAAAGCAGACATACTGAAAGGGTACTGGCTAAGTAGCACAGAAAACACACAATTTCACTTTTTCACCTCCAAAAGATTTTTTTTCCCCCCCTCCTATTTGATTACCTCAAACAAGAGAACTGAGTCCCGTATTACTCCTCAAAATCTCCTTGGATGACCACAGACAGATAAATCGGTGCTTCCTCAACTTTCACTCAGAAGGACAAGCACGCCGAAATTCATTACGGCTCTCCAAGCATTTGTTTATTTAGTATTTCTAATTAATGCGGATGGAAACCTCAGTGAAGGACACTTCCAGTACAAATTATTTTCTCTTCAAATTTCTTCAGATTTATTTCTTGGTTAATAGTTACGGCCCTATTACTTTTACCTTATTAGTTTTAGAATTGCCTCAGAGTGATTTTTGGTATTGACCTAACTTCCAGGCTTTCCCTCTTCCTTCCCCCGTGATACACTTCTCATCATATGGCCACACTCCTGGTCCCACTTCCAGACCCATGAGCCCTCTTCCAGAGACTCCTGACCATTCATTCCAGCTTTGTTTCCTGGCTGATGACCCAACTCCCATCAGCAAGCCTGACTGCAAATCCACATGCAAACCATTTTCAGGAGAGTTCACACTTGCACTTAAAAGTGCTAAAGCTGCGACTCTGTCTGGAAAAAAACTTGCTACTCAAGAATTTTGAGTCACTAGTGTAAGAATCCTTGCAGTTCTAAAGCCAATAGCAAAACCTGTTTCATGTTAAAAAAAAAAATCATGGCGGGAAAAAAAATGGGTGTTACTGAGAAAAAGTCAAGCTACAATGCACTCAAAGCATTCTTTAGAAGATGCACCCGAAGTGCACCACAGAATTATTCTGAATAAATAAAGCAGCGTTCACACTGCTATCCTAGTATTTCATCACAGGGAGACTATCTATTTCATAACTAACTTTTCAAATGAAAACCCAACTGGTTCAATAGTCTGAGAGCTCTGAAGTTCTAGCTCATGAAGCTGTTCATCATTTCTGCAGGCTGCAGTAAAACTATTACATCACCTGTGATTCACATTTAAACCCCACCAGAACTAAAGTTCCCCTGAAAAACAGAGTTAAAGGCAAACAGACCCTGTGAAGGAAATGAGGACACTGGCTTTTATTTGCTATACTGTACGGCACCTTATTCCTTTAATATATCCCTTAATTTCTAAGTTGGGATAAACTGTACCCAAAAAAAACGATCAATGCAAACTCTAGTTTGAATTTCAAAGCAGACATACTGAAAGGGTACTGGCTAAGTAGCACAGAAAACACACAATTTCACTTTTTCACCTCCAAAAGATTTTTTTTCCCCCCCTCCTATTTGATTACCTCAAACAAGAGAACTGAGTCCCGTATTACTCCTCAAAATCTCCTTGGATGACCACAGACAGATAAATCGGTGCTTCCTCAACTTTCACTCAGAAGGACAAGCACGCCGAAATTCATTACGGCTCTCCAAGCATTTGTTTATTTAGTATTTCTAATTAATGCGGATGGAAACCTCAGTGAAGGACACTTCCAGTACAAATTATTTTCTCTTCAAATTTCTTCAGATTTATTTCTTGGTTAATAGTTACGGCCCTATTACTTTTACCTTATTAGTTTTAGAATTGCCTCAGAGTGATTTTTGGTATTGACCTAACTTCCAGGCTTTCCCTCTTCCTTCCCCCGTGATACACTTCTCATCATATGGCCACACTCCTGGTCCCACTTCCAGACCCATGAGCCCTCTTCCAGAGACTCCTGACCATTCATTCCAGCTTTGTTTCCTGGCTGATGACCCAACTCCCATCAGCAAGCCTGACTGCAAATCCACATGCAAACCATTTTCAGGAGAGTTCACACTTGCACTTAAAAGTGCTAAAGCTGCGACTCTGCCTGGAAAAAAACTTGCTACTCAAGAATTTTGAGTCACTAGTGTAAGAATCCTTGCAGTTCTAAAGCCAATAGCAAAACCTGTTTCATGTTAAAAAAAAAAATCATGGCGGGAAAAAAAATGGGTGTTACTGAGAAAAAGTCAAGCTACAATGCACTCAAAGCATTCTTTAGAAGATGCACCCGAAGTGCACCACAGAAGTATTCTGAATAAATAAAGCAGCGTTCACACTGCTATCCTAGTATTTCATCACAGGGAGACTATCTATTTCATAACTAACTTTTCAAATGAAAACCCAACTGGTTCAATAGTCTGAGAGCTCTGAAGTTCTAGCTACCATATTATATACCTTCCCATGAAGCTGTTCATCATTTCTGCAGGCTGCAGTAAAACTATTACATCACCTGTGATTCACATTTAAACCCCACCAGAACTAAAGTTCCCCTGAAAAACAGAGTTAAAGGCAAACAGACCCTGTGAAGGAAATGAGGACACTGGCTTTTATTTGCTATACTGTACGGCACCTTATTCCTTTAATATATCCCTTAATTTCCAAGTTGGGATAAACTGAAAGTGGCATAGTCTACTGCATTTTAAACTGTGTAAATTCTCTCTTATGGCTTCTTTAGACGACCTAAACCATAGGCTGGCTCTGCTTGCAGCTTCTCCTGCAAAATCTTGTTTGATAATGAGGTCATCCTATAGTACTTCGAAAGCTCTCTGCTCGCTTGGTGTTGGGTGCGTTAGGTTCTCATCTGTTGGCACATACCCCCATTCACTTTGATGGGAGCGGCGTTTGTGCCACCAGGAAAAAAAACAAAACCAAGCAATTTCCTTGAAGCAAAGCAATCCAAACCCATGTCTACAATAAACAATTTTTTTCTGGAGTTATTTCACTTTGCACTTTAAAGTTGACTCATTCTCATTTCAGAAACTAGCTCGTGAAACAAATTTAATTTCACTTTGACTTACTCACTCCTGAGCTTGCCTCTGAGCACAGAAAAATGCCAAAATTGGAGCAGGAAAGGGGTTAGGGAAGGGGGGGGAAAAAAAAAGGAAAAATAAGATGCACTTCTGAAGTACCAGTGGCTACACTGAAGACAACCCTCCCTCCGAGAGCAGGACTCTGTGTCCCAGGAGTCACAAAAATAGCAGATTCAGTAGGAAAAGGCAGGACAATGCCTGCAGAGATTAACAGGAAGAACACAAGTCCACGCTGCCACTAGCTCTCCACCTCTTCTCCCTCTCACCTAAAGGGACACAGTGCTCAGCAGCATGTCTCCTCCCTGCTCCTTCTCCCCAGGGCAGCCAGCCACTATGCTTACAGCGGCCTTGGCCTGCTCAGGTGTACAGGAACACCCGCTATCAGAAACATGTAAAAGACAAAAAGACATTCTTCATGGTAAACTTAGTAGATCATGCAAACATTGAATTGCCAACACATGGATTTCAAGGGTAAATTTCCACAAGTTTTCATCAGAAGAGCACTCAGGTCTCCAGAGATCTGTGAGGGAGGCTAAGAAGGATCCTACCCAGGTCCCTTCCTTTCCTGCAGCTCCAGCTCAGGCATCAATGATGCTGCTTTGCCCATCTAGATCTGTTTTGATCTGGTCTTACTTGACATCACAAGTGATTTTTTTCTTAGAATGGCACTGGATCATCTCCCATGGGGAAACACACCACAAGCTAGAAAAGTGAAGCAGCACACCCATCTCCATGTAGTGCCAACATCTAAACCAGGAGGCCAGCCCTGATGGAGACAGCCTAAGAACAGTTATACATGTGTGCAAACAAATAGGACAAGAGAAGCAAGACAGCAAAGCGAAGCGAGGAAACAGGAGTGTCAGCGTCAGCATCAAAGCAAGTCAATTCAGGGGAAACACACCACAAGCTAGAAAAGTGAAGCAGCACACCCATCTCCGTGTAGTGCCAACATCTAAACCAGGAGGCCAGCCCTGATGGAGACAGCCTAAGAACAGTTATAGCGAAGAGGCTATACGTAGACACAACACAGTTATTCTGAAAAACTAAGTAGCATGAAACAATTGTCAAGGGCTGACAAACCTCGAATGTAGAAATCCTTTTAAGTCTGGACAGAAAAAAAACAAACCCAAAACCCAAATCAGACATGGGCACCAGGACATGACAGTAATCTCCTCTGATATTGGTATGAGCGTGTCCCAGGTTGGTAACTGACCTTACATTTAATTCTACTCCTTTCCTCTAATTTTAAACCATGGCATTGCTTGCCTGGCTTTACACAGGTTGTCAAGAGACAGCTGGTGCTTCAATGCAGCTCTCCAGCAGGAGCTGCATCTGCATCACATACACACACAGTTATCACCAAGCATGGATTTATTTCTCAATTTTGAAGAACTCACTCTGCCAGGAATATAAAGAAATACACTAACATGAAAAAGCCAACTGGAGTCTCAATTCAGACTGAGAAGACCAATCCATGCTGATGGAAGAGCACAACCAGCACTTCCTCCCATAGGCTCTTTCACCAGTACATTTATTTTGTTAAGTACTGAGTGTACTTTGCTCCTTCAGCTTCAAGTATGAGAGAAATCCACATCCAGAGGTACTTTGCCAAAACAAAATGAGGAATGTCATCACAATATGGAGACAGAAAATTTAGCAAAATGGAATGGGGAGAGAAGGGAAGAGAAAAAATATCCCAAAGTATGAGATTCCCCACTAAGTATATACCACAT